GTGATGGAAGCTTCCAGGCATATGTTATGTTATGCTGTTAACTCCCAGAGTTGTGTCATAAAACATTCTTTCCTTCTTAGTTATTCTTCTCTTTCCATTGATTCTTGGGATTGAGGATATTTCACTCCCAAGCAAGAGCCCCGAAGAACAAGACCACGACAAAAGAGACTGGAATCGTCTTTCTTGTCCAAAATGGACTTTATCGCTCACTCCAGTTACACTCATTTCACCAAAACTGATCATCAGTGGGTGCACAGCATGGTATTTGTTCTCAAAGAACTGATGACATACTCAAGAATACTCAAGAACATTAACCACGTTGATCTCCTCATCACACGCAGCCGCAGACAAATGCCTCCATCAATAGGAGCACGTTAGGAAACACCTTCCCCTCTCTGTAGCCTTTGTAAAATCAAGCTGATAAAAGGCATCAGTACTGTTGAGGTTTAAAATCATTACTAGTTTGGGCCGGCCCGGTGGCACACTGGAGAGTGCGCCGCTTGGGAGCGCGGTGGCCCTCCCGCCGAGGGTTCAGATCCCATGTGAAGACTGGTTCCCACTCACTGGCTGAGCGCGGTGCGGGCTCAACACTGAGGGCTGTGATCCCGTTACCGGTCAGTAAAAAAGACAAAAAGGAAAAATAAATAAATAAATAAATAAAATAAAATCAATTACTAGTTTAATAAAAGGGAATGTTATAGTAATAAGTAAAGTACAGTTTAACCCCCCCCCCAAAAAAAAACAAATGAAATCAACTACCAGGAAAGAGTATAAGAAATCTTATTATTCTCCTTCTTACACTGTACTTAACTAAATAAATCATTTAGCTGCCTTAGTTTGACCTTCTGCTCCAAAAGAGCCATTCTAATGAAGTTGGACCCCAGGTCCATGTGTGGAGTTATTCATAAAACCCTTGTCTCCTGTAAACTCTCTTGTCTTAAGACTTTGACTAGGCTTGAATTCAGTAACCCATCCTGATACATTGCTCAGGGTATTTCCTATTGTTGTTAAACTCTGCCTTACTTTAGTATTTTTTTAAATTTGTATTTATTTATTTTTATCATTATATTTATAATTACACAACATAGTCATATTTTGTGACTCATTACCAATTTCTCACTAACCCCCCTCCTCCTCCCCTTTTCCCACTTCTGGTGGCCTCAGTTTCCTTCTCTCCTTTTGAAAGTTCAATGAATTGTTGCAATTGTTGTATCTTTATTCCATTCTTTGTTGTGGTTTCTTTGTTTTTAGCTCCCACTTATGTATGAGTACATGCGATATTTCTCTTTCTGTGCCTGGCTTATTTCACTAAACATAATTTTCTCTAAGTACATCCATATTGCTGTGAATGGCAGAATTTCATTCCTTTTTCATGGTAGAGTAGTATTCCACTGTGTACGTATACCACATTTTCCTTATCCAGTCATCTTCAGCGGACATTCAGGTTTCACTTTAAACTTAGCTTTCTATATTGAAGCATACATAAAAAGATACTTAACTGATTTACTGATTTTGCTTGCTATGGATGCATGGGTACATTTGACCTTTGTAGCACTAGCAGTAGTTATCACACAAGTTGGGCATCCATAGCTCCCTAAAGAAAAATCCAAGTTAGAAACAAGTTTAGAGAAATTATTGATTTAACAGTTCCACAAATGCTTTGGTATATAGAAGGAGCATGAAAAGTAGGTCAGACACCCACATTGATGACAACACTCATGTGGCTGAGTCTGACTGTGTGCTGGGTGCTTCTGGGAATGCCATGTGTGCGCACGCGTGCATTCGTGTGTGTGTGTGTGTGTGTGTGTGTGAACACTGAGGCCTCACATGAGCCCTGCAGGGCAAGTCCTGCTCTTTTCCTTACCTTGCATGGGTGGGAATCGAGGTGCCAAGATACCAAGCAGCTTATTTAGGTTACACAGTTAGGTGGTGGAGCCAGAGCCTGTCTCTGAGAGCTCCTCCCCAGAAGCCATGCCCTTGCTCACCACTTTCAATCAACTATAACAGAAACATTGCCTGTCACCACCAGATTCAGGGGAGCAGGTTCCTTGTTTCCACCATTGTTTCCTGACTTTCATGCCCCCAACACCCCCCCCACCCCACCCCCTCCACACACACTGTGACTGTGGCTGGCATTTGCACCAGCTCCCTGGCCTGTCCCAAGCCTTGTTCCTGCTCATTGCTCTTTCTCCCTACTCTGGCTCCCCCCCCCCCCCCCCC